GAAGGGTAATTAGATGTTTGATGTCTAAATTATTAATGATGAAATTCATCATCCTCTGAATCCTTCAGGGCCCCAAAATCACGTTCATACAGTAGCCTGTGTTTATTAATTACCACATGGAAAGCTTTCGCCATTTTTTTAAACATGTTTGTCCGATCCACACAAAAGTTGATATGATGTGGATTTATAGTAATGTGAATAACATGGGGAGACTGTGATACTAAATATGTCCACTAGGGGCCACTGGATAAGAAAGCCTTTCACAAAGGACAATAATAAGACAATATCATCTGTCTCTTTTAATGTAACATATAGCATAATATGTATTAAAGATTCACTGATGTCCAAGTATGACCAGTTAATTATGTTTTATGGCATAATTAGACATGACGCATCATATTTTCATACCATGATAGTTGGTTTTATCATGGAATTGAATAACATTGCAAAAAAGGTTGTGAATGAAATTTCAAATTTATTTATGAATAATGCAAGTATTGTCGAATAAGGAGTTTCTGACTATATGAACACAGACACACATTAATCATCATTGTCAGATATTGCCCTCATGCACACTGCACAGGATAAGAAATTGTTTTCTAAAGGTTTCCATCAGTTTGAATATTTATTAAGACACAATTTTGCAATCTTTACAAATTTCTCACAATACAATACAATACAATACAATATATTTTGAGTTGTGGAATGAATAACTTTGGTGTCATGTATGTGCTAAACTGAAAGCATATAACATATAGGCACAACATGACACCCACTCGGAAAAATGTGCAGCCCCAAAATTAACTGATTTTTTTTGTTGCCAGTGAAATAATTTTTTATTGCAGAGCTATTATTAGAATTTTTACAAATATATAACTATTATATGATTCACTTTTGCAGGCATAGTGCACTGGTCCTCTATCTGCTTGTTTTTGTACACCAGAACGCAGATTTATATGCAGCTACATACATTTTTTATTATATAGCAATAAGTAAAACAACAATAAATTCTAACTTTTAATGAAAAAGTTATGCTGGTTAATAGACTCTTTATGTAACACTTAATTTTATTGATTAAAACTGCAAATTTCCAGCCCTTGAAACTGCCATGAAAATGAATAATCAAGTCATGTAAATATCTATAGGCAACATCATTTAGATGTTAGAAATTCATATTTAGCATTCATAAAATATTTGCCATATTACATTCATTGACAGCAAAAATGTTCTGACTTTCCTCAATCATATATCAGCCTTCAGCGACTTGAACTAGAAATATATTAAAAAATTGTGTGCGTACACTATGGTACATCACCTCATGAATATCAAGTATGTGCCAAAAGTTTTATGGCAGGCAAAATTTGCATATAACACTACGGTTTTACTATCCATAAATGTATTTGACTTATAGTTGTGTTTTGACGAGTCATAATTATAACTTGACTATTCAAAATGATAATTAGATATATGCAATTATACATTGAACTATAGTACAAAATTTGATTGGGGATGTTTCTAAAGTTTTGACTACACTAACACTATTTTACATATGGGCTATGTATAATGACGTCATAGATGTTTTATATTGACGTGTCGGCCTACAAAAGTGTGCCATCCCTGCACCACACTATTATGATCAGTCAAAAATGCAGAATAGATAAATAGAATTGGATTTTTGACTTGACAACACTAAATTGCGACTAGCAGATCCAGTTAAATGCTAACTAGGCTTGCCATATGGCTTTGCTAAATGGGCGCTGGCTAGGATGGCCAATGAACGACGTTTAGGATACTAAAAACACAGGCTTGGCTTATGATTGGACAGTCCAGGAGGAGAGCGTTCATTCTACGGCGCATTTACTACAGGCTTTATGGTAACAACATGGCGACTTACATGAAAGTAAACACGGACTTGGGCTCTCTTGTGCTTATTTAAACGCTTCAAGACGATGACATCTTGATTTTGGACATATCACAGCTTTAAAATGAAACTATCGCGAGTCACATCTTTTTTAATTCGGGGGCGTCACGTGTACCGGGCTCCAGGTTCTGTTTCATGTAATGAACCGATCCGAAATGGAGCTGTCCTCATTAAACAACACTTCTCTGTGTCTGCAGTCAAAGACAGCACTGCACTTGTGTACAGAAAACACGGGGAGCCCTCACAAGTTGTTCAGTAAGCGTGTCACATCCATAGATAATAACACTGTACTGACGTATAAAGTGACCTGCGTGTCCTGAATGATTGACAGGTTGGAGTCATTGGAGATGCCCCGTGTGGGACCCGAGTGTGTCCTGGTGAAGATGCTGGCGGCTCCCATCAACCCCTCGGATTTAAATATGCTTCAAGGCAAGAGCAAAGCATTTAATTAAATTTAATTAATTAAACATTACATAGGCATTGGCTCAGAATCAGGATGTTTGGGCAAATCAAAGTAAAGAAAAAAAAAGTGAAATGTATTATGCACGAGGAAAATGAAAGCTGTTTTGATCTTGCATTGTAATATTGAGGAGTTTTCCACAGTTTATTCCGCTTAATATTTCACTTTAAAAAATAATTTTTGGTATATTTTTAGCTTACCTCAAGGGAATCCAAGATGTTGGTGTCTTTGTTTCCGCAGTAGTTTCAATTTTGATATTTTTAGGTCAAACCTTTCTTGTCTGTCAGTCATATAATGGAGGTCTATGGTCACCACCTCAAAGAGCATGCACAGAGAAGTCCAGATTAAACATGATTTATTGACTCGTAAATGTAAGTACACATTGATGGCCTAAGACACGAAACGAGCGGTTTGTGTGAGAAAACGAGCAGTATTTATATCATTTTTACCTCTTGTTACCACAGCCACGTCCAAGTGATCTGAGGGCGTGGGTGCTTTGTGGTTATAAGAGGTAAAAATGATATAAACTGTTTCTTAGGCCATCAATGTGTACTTACATTTACGAGTCATTAAATCGTGTTTAATCTGGACTTCTCTGTGCATGCTCTTTGAGGTGGTGACCATAGACCTGCATTATATGACTGACAGACAACACCGGTTTGACCTAAAAATATCAAAATTGAAAATACTAACAAAATTGAAAATATTAACAGTTGTGTGCCCATGCCCTGCTGAATGCGTTGAGCTGTCGACCTATTATTTTGACATTTCATAGTAGCCTATTGAAATGCATATCGCGATATGTACATTTGCCATATTTCGCTGTCGTGCATCCTTACAACAGGTTTAAATAATTTTAGAAAAAGTGATTTAATTGCATTGCAGCGTGAAAATTGATTGGGATAATGGCATATTTCTTTCTTTTTGTTGTTTGAACAGGAACGTATGCGCTCTTACCAGAGCTCCCAGCGGTGGGGGGCAATGAGGGCGTGGGTCAGGTGATGGAGCTGGGAGAGCGGGTGACCACACTCAAGCTCGGCGACTGGGTGATTCCTAGAGATGCTGGCTTAGGTGAACATTACACGTGCATTCACACGCCTGGTGTTCCCATAAGGAGATCTCGGGATGTAACAGCCCTGCATTGATCCGCGCAGGTACGTGGAGAACAGCTGCGGTGGTGAACGCTGGTGATCTCGTGAGTTTACCGAAAGACATTCCTCTACTGTCGGCTGCCACTTTAGGAGTCAACCCCTGCACGGCGTTTAGGATGCTCACAGACTTCGAGGAGCTCAAACCAGGTTCTTTCATTTTGCATTTCCCTCAGGTAGGCAGTGCTCAACTGTACTCACCAAAGTCTAACGGTGTATTCTAGGAGACACGGTGATCCAGAACGCGGCTAACAGTGGTGTTGGACAGGCTGTTATTCAGATTGCGGCTGCGAAGGGGATTCGAACCATCAATGTCATCAGAGACAGGTAACCCATCATTGAGGATGTTTACTGTCTTCTTAACCCTCAGGTGCTCTTCGTTTCGGAGTCACACTTGTTATCTTCCCGGCCAAAAGTGACCGGACACCTAAAAATGAAACTTTCTCCATCCCAGTAATACCAATGCAATTTATTTTTGTTCTATAATATTTATTCTTTTTAATTTAGTATTTTGAGACAATTTAATTGAATTTATTAATATTTATGCAATATTTATGGTTTATTTTTGCCATGGAAAAATATATATATATTTATATATATATATATATATATATATTATTTTTTTCAAAAAAACATTAATGCAGTATTTTAATTTAATATAGAGTCTGGGCCTTCAGAAAAAAAATATTTTTTGAAGAAAATTAGCACCATCTGGTTACACTATAGAGAAAAAGCTTAGAATCATGGTGTAACCACTAGATGGCATGTACAGCTCTCTATGGAGAGGCATGTGAATTCCCCAGCTGTTTATGAACACTTTTTTTGTTGTTGTTGGTGGTGGATTTGAATATATAGTTGAAACAATCTCAAAAACTATTTCTTATAAAAAAAATGACAAAAAACAAAAATTCACAATTTTTTTTTTTCATTTTTTTACAATTTCCCATTCATTTCCTATGGGAGTCATTTTTGACCAAAGACCACAAGTGTGACTATTTTTTTTAAGACCACTTAGCATGCTCAGATCATGACCTCAATTTTTTTGTGTGTTCACATACATAATACCATAAAAGTCACAAAGTTTCGTAACATTCTGATGAAGCTGTGATTTTTAAAAATTCAAAACATACTTTTTGTAATCAAAATTTATTGGTGTGTATGTGTATAAAAGTGTGCTTGTATGTGTGTGTGTGTTGGTGGGTGTGTCACCCCTTTCCTGTGGTGTACTTTTTTTTTTTTAGAATTGTGGCCGATTTGTAGATTGTACAAACAAAAATTCAGAGATTTTTTTTTTTTTGTCAATTTCCCATTCATTTCCTATGGGTCGTCATTTTTGACAGAAGAGCAAAAGTGTGACTCATTTTTTACGACCACTTAAATTGCTCGAATCATGACCTCATTTTTTTTGTGTGTTCACATACCCAATGCCATAAAAGTCACCAAGTTTCGTAATTTTCTGAAGAAGCTGTGATTTTTAAATATTCAAAACAGATTTCTTTAATCTCAATTTATTGGTGTTTTTGTGTATAAAAGTGTGTGTGTGTAGGGGTGGGTATGTCTGTTTTGCACTCTTGATATTTTAGAGTGTCACCCCTTCAATGCTAAGCACTTTTTTTCTGCATCGTGGCCGATTTGTAGATTGTACACACAAAAATTCTCAAAGTATTTGTGTTTTTGTCAATTTCCCATTCATTTCCTATGGTCGGTCATTTTTGACCGAAGAGCACAAGTGTGACTATTTTTTTACGACCACTTAGCATGCTCGGATCATGACCTCAATTTTTTTTTGTGTTCACATACCCAATAACATTCCGACAAAAAATTTTCTGACCGAAGAGCACCTGAGGGTTAAAGGAGTAGTTCACTTTTAAAATAACTTTTGCTGATAATTTACTCGCCCACATGTCATCCAAGATGTCCATGTCTTTCTTTCTTCAGTCGAAAAGAAATTAAGGTTTTTGATGAAAACATTCCAGGATTTTCTCCATATAATGGACTTCAATGGGAACCAAACGGTTCAAGGTCCAAATGACAATTTCAGTGCAAACTGTTCAAAGGGCTTTAAACGATTCCAGACGATGAATAAGGGTCTTATCAAGCAAAACGATCGCTCATTTAATAAATAAATAACAAAGTTTACGTTTTATAAGCTCAAACGCTCGCCTTGCTCGGTTTTGTGATGCGCATTCGTGACTCTCCTGTTTGAACTCGTTCATGACTCATTTTCTGAGTCAATTTGGTCGTTCGTTGAATCAACCAAATGACACGAAAAAAGATTAGTTCATTTTTCGTTTTCATATTTCTCTTCAATGCAGACATGAGTCCAATTGCTGGAATATAAAACAGTCTCTGTTTGAATATCCTCTTTCACTTGGAAATGTCTGGAGGTAACATATGTTGTCTTTATGTTGAGTTTCATCAGTCTGCTTTAACAGAGAGGATGCTGGGATGAGTGTGTCAGTGTGTAAAGCAGCTTGTTCCCCGTTCCAGGCCTGACGTGCAGCATCTCTCCGACACACTGACGGCACTGGGAGCCACTCACGTCATTACAGAGGAGAAACTGAGACGGCCAGAGACGAGGGAGCTTTTCCAGGTCAGTGTGTGCAATGTGTGTGTTTGAAGCATTCTGGAGCTTGAAAGAGACTCTGTGTCTTGATCATGTTCAGCGTTTGTTTTTAACAGTCGTGTCCTCGACCGAAACTGGCTCTGAATGGAGTTGGAGGAAAGAGCGCCACAGAGCTGTTACGTCTTTTACAGTAAGTTATCGAAACACAATCTATAACAGTGTCCACCTACTTCTGCAGCAGCCTTCGTTGCACAGGTGTTTTTTTCAGTCATTTTACCCATAGAGATTATATATATATTCTATATATATTCTAAAGCATGCAAAAGTAACTTCCAACGGGCCATTACATTATGTTAAATTATATTATATTATATTATATTATATTATATTATATTATATTATATTATAATATATAATATTTAGGGCTGTGCAAAAATTAATTGCGATTAATCGCATCCAAAATAAAAGTCTGTGTTTACATAATATATTTGTGTGTGCTGTATATAATTATTTTATATATATAAATACACACACATGCATGTATATATTTAAGAATTATTTGCGCTTATATATATATATATATATATATATATATACATAATCTATATTATATAAATATTTTATATATGAATAACACATTTTCTTAAATATATACATGCTTGTGTGTGTATTTATATATACAAAATAATTATATACAGCACACACAAATATATTATGTAAACACAGACTTTTATTTTGGATGCGATTAATCGCAATTAATTTTTGCACAGCCCTAATTATATTATATTATATTATATTATATTATATTATATTATATTATATTATATTATATTATATTATATTATATTATATTATATTATATTATATTATATTATAGGTGAAATTTGAAAAATGTGAATATCATGAAAAATTTCATTTATATCGGTAAAACTAATATATTATATAGACTTATTACTTGCAAAGTGAGATATTTCAAGCCTTTATTTGTTATAATTTTGATGATGGATTACAGCTTATGAAAACCAAGTCAAAATTAGAATATTGTGAAAAGGTTTTCATAAACTGTAAGCCTTAATCATCAAAATTATAACAAATAAATGCTTGAAATATCTCACTTTGCATGTAATGAGTCTATATAATTATTTTCACAGTTTGAGTTTCACCTTTATATCATATTATATTATGTTTAAAAACTCGAAATTTAAATACAAAAAAATACTGAAAATAACCACAATAATAGCTATTGCTTAAAAGCTGGTCAGTAAAGCTATCCAAAAACACAAATGTACAGATCAAACATATTATCAAATAATCGCGTCACTAAAAGCTATTCTTAACAGATCAGTTTTAGCCTGAGCTTTAAAGAGGTCAATAGAGTCCATCTGGTGTTGTGATTGGTAGAGTGTGGTCGGGAAATGTCCCGCCCCTTTCCATAAACGCCAGTTTAACACACTACTAACTAACTCAAACAGGCCCCGCCCCTTTTATTCTGCATATGAATTATTAAAATGAGGAATATTGTGACGTGTTCGTTCCCGGAAGAAAATCAAGACTACAGTAGAGGCGTTTCAGGAGTTCAGAAACACTGATATAGAGGAGAACTCCCGCTGGAGGGACCTTACAGAGCTAATTCTCATGGCCAAAGAGTTTTGAATGTCAAAAGTGATAATAGGACATAAATGTTTAACTTTATAACGGGACCCTTGATAAGCAGTGTGTGTTCAGTCTTCTGTGTGTTCTTCAGAAGTGGAGGGACTATGGTGACCTACGGCGGGATGGCCAAACAACCAGTCACTGTCCCAGTGGTGAGTGTGACTTTATGAACCTCGATATCTGGCTTTATAGAATTATATAGATAGAATGTGGTGTACATAAGCATTATTCTTTCTTTAGAGTGCACTGATCTTTAAAGATGTGAAAATAAGAGGTTTTTGGGTGACCCAATGGAAGAGAGAGAACAAACATGGTGAGTTTTTCTTGAGTTGAGTTGTTGTGTGTGGAGGACCTACACTCACCTAAAGGATTATTAGGAACACCTGTTCAATTTCTCATTAATGCAATTATCTAATCAACCAATCACACGGCAGTTGCTTCAATGCATTTAGGGGTGTGGTCCTGGTCAAGACAATCTCCTGAACTCCAAACTGAATGTCAGAATGGGAAAGAAAGGGGATTTAAGCAATTTTGAGCGTGGCATGGTTGTTGGTGTCAGAGTATTTCACAATCTGCTCAGTTACTGGGATTTTCACGCACAACCATTTCTAGGGTTTACAAAGAATGGTGTGGAAAGGGGAAAACATCCAGTATGCGGCAGTCCTGTGGTCGAAAACGCCTTGTTAATGCGAGAGGTCAGAGGAGAATGGGCCGACTGATTCAAGCTGATGGAAGAGCAACTTTGACTGAAATAACCACTCGTTACAACCGAGGTATGCAGCAAAGCACAACACACACAACCTTGAGGCGGATGGGCTACAACAGCAGAAGACCCCACCGGGTACCACTCATCTCCACTACAAATAGGAAAAAGAGGCGACAATTTACAAGAGCTCACCAAAATTGGACAGTTGAAGACTGGAGAAATGTTGCCTGGTCTGATGAGTCTGGATTTCTGTTGAGACATTCAGATGGTAGAGTCAGAATTTGGCGTAAACAGAAGGAGAACATGGATCCATAGCCGCTTTCCAACCGGATGGACTTTTGCAGTTCCTAGAACCTAACGTTCCTATAACCCTTTTTTCCTCGTGTTCCGACCGGACTAAATTGGGGATTTTTTTAGTTCCTCAGACCGTAGTTCCTATAACTCTTTCAGTACCTAGTCTAGAGCGAGGACTTTTTTAGTTCCCTTTCCCTAGGTCTACGTTGATTGGTTCAACAACTTATAAGTCATGTCCACTGTCAACACGGAACTTGTAGCGCGCTGTCTGCCATACGCTGTGTGTTTTTGCAAAACATTACAACGAGGATTAAGACGCATTCAACCAGATAATTGCTAATGCTAGCTAAACTTACCCGTCGTTTTGTTTGCCTCCTGCGCTCTGCTCTTTTATCTTCTTCCATCATATTACTTAATATCATATTACGCTGGAGCCTTCGTCTTCTGTGTTTCTCTGTAACTTACAGAACTCAAGCATAATCTTTAAACGCCACCGTTCGTTCTCCGTTAATTAAGGTCCCGGCAAGGCAGAACAGGAACATTGCAAGAATAGCCTCCTCCATGCTGGTTTGTTGTATGTGGCTGCGCTACGTCTAGTGAAAAAGACCGCCGCCGTGCTTGCGTTACTCCTACCAGTTCATATGGCCACTTGGCCAGTGCGAACGCAAGCAGCAAAACCGAGTTTGGGGGAGAGTAGTTCATAGAACTGTTTAGAAGTGGACAGTTCCTAAAAGTTCCTGTAACTACTTGGTCGGAAAGCGGCTCATCATGCCTTGTTCCCACTGTGCAGGCTGGTGGTGGTGGTGTAATGGTGTGGGGGATGTTTTCTTGGCACACTTTAGGGTCCTTAGTGCCAATTGGTCATCGTTTAAATGCCACAACCTACCTGAGCATTGTTTCTGACCATGTCCATCCCTTTATGGCCACCATGTCCCCATCCTCTGATGGCTACTTCCAGCAGGATAATGCACCATGAATCATTTCAAATTGTGTTCTTGAACATGACAATGAGTTGACTGTACTAAAATGGCCCCCACAGTCACCATATCTCAACCCAATAGAGCATCTTTGGGATGTGGTGGAACGGGAGCTTCGTGCCCTGGATGTTCATCCCACAAATCTCCATCAACTGCAAGATGCTATCCTATCAATATGGGCCGACATTTCTAAAGAATGCTTTCAGCACCTTGTTGAATCAGTGCCACGTAGAATTAAGGCAGTTCTGAAGGGGAAAGGGGGTCAAACACAGTATTAGTATGGCGTTCCTAATAATCCTTTGGGTGAGAGTATATAGAGTTTAACCTAAAATACTCGTTAACACCTTTGGCCTCCTGTGATAGATGAAGACGCCTTACGAAACATGCTGGATGAACTGTGCGTCCTCATCCGCGCGGGGAAGCTGTCGGCTCCGGCTTGCGCTGAAGTCAGGCTCCGAGACTTCGGAAAAGCCCTTGAGAACGCCATGAAGCCGTATGTGTCCACCAAACAAGTGTTTGTCATGTGATCCCTCTTGTCACGTTTCCTCAATTCAAACACACATACAATAAATGTGACATCAAAGTCCGGTGAGCTTTATCAGACTTTTACTGTATTCTTATCTTTTATGAGCATAATAAAGATTATCAGTATGTCAGACACCAGTTTACTTTTATAAGGAGCACACACTGATAACCACACATAAGCTGAAATATGAGTGTATTTGTCATTTATTTCATCTTGAGCATCTTGTCCGGTTATGCTTAAACATGTAAATCCTCAAATGTTAAAAATACACACAATAAAATAATTATCAATTATGACAATGAAATAGAGACGCAACATTTTTTTGTAATATTGATTAGTACAACAGATTGTTAATATGAAGTGTTTGCTAAAACTGAGTGTTCTCTTTGGCTTTTATTGACATTACGCAGATTGAAGCATTTTATGTTTTTAACACCAGTATCTTGTTCACATTGAAAGTGATTTTTTTTTTTTTGCTGGAGTGACTAGCTGTGTTTGCATCCATGTATTTGTATGCCAAAAAAAAAAAAAACATTTATATTTTGGAAAGTAATTGTCATTCATCATTCACATTACGAAGAAGAAAAATCAAACATTTATCATTTTTGGCAGTCTTCCATGCATAATAAAAAAAGTTTCTGTTATATGTGGGCATAGACAACTCATACAAAATAGTAAAAGAAAAAGTGTTGCAATATAAGTTACTGACAGACAGTGTGAACTACAGTCGATCCTAAAGTCATCAACTTAGAGAATCACAATTGACAATTCAACATCTCTTTTCTGATGACGAGGGCGGGGCAACCTGTCACTCACATGAGATCCACCAATAGCAAACCACAACCATCCAATCAATAATTCCACGTGGATAAAATCAAGCCCCGCCCACATTTGTTCTTGATCCAGAAGTTGTTTAACTCGGACATACGTCACAATAGTTTGATGCAGTGATATGTGTTTGTATAAGCCGACCCCTAAGTTCGCAACACACTGGTTCTGTCACACAATTTGCTTTTTAATAATTACTACAACAAACAAGCTCTGTGATCAATAAAAGTTTATGATATTTACAATTCAAAAATTAACTCCACACAACACGACAAGCTTTAGTCCCATTTAGACACTTGATCACTACTGCTTTTGCCTTTTTAAAAAGTAAAAGCTTTATAAAAAACACAAGGTGTTGCTGATGTATTATATATCATAGAATAAAATGTGGAAATATCTTGCACTTGTGTCCACCACAAAAAAAACACAAAAAAAAAACAACACATGACTTTAGGACAATTGAAACAAAAGTGCTAAAATGTAATGCAATTTCCGGATTTTGGCCTAAAGAAATACATCATACCTGCAGCACAACAGAGAAGAAAAGACTATTACAACTTCCGTTTCATGCCAACTTTAAAGGGATAGTTCACCCAAAAATTTAAATTCTGTCATTTATAAAATATACAATAAGAAAGATAAAATAAAACTAAATTCTGTATCAAATTTATAGACAAGACAAGTAGTTTGTTCAGGCATGGATTTGTAGGGATTTACAAAAATACGCACATAACTATAGAATCAATTCTTAATGCACATGCGAGCGCCATCAACGTTATCACAGGTTCACGTTTAAAGTCTGTTTAGAGACATTCATATACAGTTTTACCTTACAGTTACTGTAAATCCGGCCTCTAGTTCATAAACGCCAGAGGAGAACTGGCCCCCGACTGAGCCTGGGTTCTCCCAAGGTTTTATTTCTGCATTGGGTCATCTGATGGAGTTTTAGGACACCATTGGGTCACCTGATGGAGTTTTAAGACACCATTGGGTCACTTGATGGAGTTTTAGGACATCATTGGGTCACCTGATGGAGTTTTAGGACACCCTCGGGTCACCTGATGCAGTTTTTGGACACCTTTAGGTCACCTGATGGAGTTTTAGGACACCATTGGGTCACCTGATGGAGTTTTAGGACAACACTGGGTCACCTGATGGAGTTTTAGGACACCATTGGGTCGCCTGATGGAGTTTTAGGACACCATTGAGTCACCTGATGGAGTTTCGGACACCCTTAGGTTACTTGATGGAGTTTTAGGACACCCTTAGGTCACTTGATGGAACTTTAGGACACCATTGGGTCACCTGATGGATTTTAGGACACCATTGGGTCACCTGATGGAGTTTTAGGACACCCATAGGTCACTTGATGGAGTTTTAGGACACCTTCGGGTCACCTGATGGAGTTTTAGGACACCATTGGGTCACCTGATGGAGTTTTAGGACACCCTTAGGTCACTTGATGGAGTTTTAGGACACCATTGGGTCACCTGATGGAGTTTTAGGACACCATTGGGTCACCTGATGGAGTTTTAGGACAACACTGGGTCACTTGATGAAGTTTTAGGACACCATTGGGTTACCTGATGGAGTTTTAGGACACCACTGGGTCACCTGATGGAGTTTTAGGACACCATTGAGTCACTGATGGAGTTCGGACACCCTTAGGTTACTTGATGGAGTTTTAGGACACCTTTAGGTCACTTGATGGAGTTTTGGGACACCTTTAGGTCACCTGATGGAGTTTTAGGACACCTTTAGGTCACCTGATGGAGTTTTATGACACCTTTAGGTCACTTGATGGAGTTTTAGGACACCTTTAGGTCACCTGATGGAGTTTTAGGACACCTTTAGGTCACTTGATGGAGTTTTTGGACACTTGATGGAGTTTTTGCACACCATTGGGTCACCTGATGGAGTTTTTTGGACACCTTTAGGTCACTTGATGGATTTTTAGGACACCATTGGGTCACTTGATGGAGTTTTAGGACACCATTGGGTCACCTGATGGAGTTTTTTGGACACCTAGGTCACTTGATGGAGTTTTTCGGGTTTCTTGCCACTGTTGCCTTTGGCTTGCTCAGTTGGGAATTTTCAAATTAATGAACTAATCAGTAATACCCCTGATCAGCTCTACCAAACATGGATGTTTTTCCACTAAGAAATGCATTGTTATTATGTTTTGATTGATACTGTGAAGCTGCTTTGATGCAATCTATATTGTAAAAAGCGCTATATAAATATACTTGACTTGATAAACTCTCATGTCTTTCCAAATTTCTTTTTCGTTCCAAAAATAGAAATTTTTCACAAATCTACTTTGATGCCAGCATTTTCATTTCAGGGTTAGACAGTTCAATAAATATAAGCAAATCATAATAGATAGGGCCAGATCTACTAACAGCTCCAGCGCAAACCCTCTTTTTATTTAGTGTTAAAAACTACCGTTTTTAGGGATTTAAGGATTTAGTAAAGACATGCAGTAAAAAAAATGAGCGCTTAGCTGAAAAGGCAGGGTTATTTTTTGCGGCTGATATTATTGCATATGCATTTGCTGGAGTTTCCCTTTCAAACACAACATTTATGGGAGGACAGAATTTATATGAATCATGCAAGGTGATTTACTAAGGTTTGCGCTCATCACTTTACTGGCATTATTCACCTCCCATAAAAAAGCACATCTTCAACCAGACGCTAGTTTGATCTGTCTTGGTGGATTGTGTTGGTCATTATGGAAATGATGTGTCTGTGATCTTTCATTTGTCTGTAAATCACGTTCAGAAATTTACACTTTTATGGGCTCATGCTCTCGTGCTAATCTGCCCTGTTTAGTAAATCAGGCCCCAAATAAAGTAGTCAACATTTGAAGTGTATAAAAAAAAAAGTTCATCAAAGTTGTCCTAAGATGGCTATTGTTCAAATTCAAAATGCATGTCTAGCTTTGATGAAAGTTTTCATTGATCCACTTCAAATGTTGACTACTGCAAATACTAAAGTTATTCATTTTGGCTACTAGAAATACTGGTGATATTGAGACTTAAGCTGGCGCTGATGCTGTTCTGTGATCAGTTGAAGCACCGCAGACTCATCATCAGAGACAGAAGCAGAGTGAACAGCACTGGTGCCGTGGATGACCCTCCCTCCTTCAGCACACAGCGCTCGTAAGCCTCGAAGTCGACCTCTCTCACCGCGCACACGTGATCGACGCGGCAGTCGGCGTGGCACTCCGTCAGGTCGTAACCCACCGAGTTAAACTCGAAGTACTTCTGCAGAGAGCACGAGTCGCTGGCGATGCGCTCCATCACGCGGTGCATCGAGGCAGGAGAGGCGTCCGGCACCCGAAACGCCTCCGTCAGGCGGTACTCCTTCTCCCAGCGCGCTCGCGCCATGTTTGCGTGCGTCAAGTTCAGGTAGTAGGTGACTATATCCTTTAGGAACGCAAAACACCAAGAACAGAAGTGTAAATATGTTGAAAGTTTGTCATACAGTCAAACCAAAAATGATTTACACACCAGATATGATTTTTTATATTTTTCACTAGTGTGTTCAGGTGGACACTAAAGTTAAGTGAAGAGAGCAAAATAAAGTAAACTGTGACATATTATACTCGACTACCAGTAACATTTAAACAAATTTGGGACCAAAAGTTATTCAGACACTTTGAGCTGATCATGTTTTCTTCAGTGTGTTTACTGTAATTGCTAATGCTCTTTTTACACACAAACAAAATGAAGCATTGCTTGGTCACTGGGTGAGCTATACTGGTATTATCTAATTGTGTAATTAAATTTAACATCTGACACATATTCAACATAATTCATGTGTGAGAGTCGAACAGAAGGACGGACAAAACCAGCCAAATATCCACAGTTCTGCTCATAATATCACCATTTCCTAAACTATAGCGAATAAACTGAGATAATGTGAGAAATTGAAGGTTGAAGGTGTCTGAATAAATGGGAATTCGTACAAATTTTACGAGGTGGCTAATTCGTAACAATTCGTACGACCTCACTCGTACGAATTGCTCTTGCGAAAAAGAAGTATATTTCGTTCATTTTATGTAGTATACTTAAGTAATGTTCAAGTATATTTTTAAGTATACATTATGTAGTAAGTATACTAATGTAACTATGTACTAGTAGTTAACTTGTAAGTGCACTATTTTAATACCGCTTGGGACTAAATTGGCCCACTTTTAGTACATAAACGTATATGTTTAAGTGTACTATAAGTGTAACAGTAAGTACTAGTTCATAATTATGTATCTCATGTGTACTGCAAGTGAATTTATGGGTATACTAGTAGTTTACTTTTTTACTGTAATACTTATACAAGTATACTTTGAATACTTAATTATACTTTTAAGTATTTCTAAATCAAAAGATCGAGTACAAGAACAGGACAAATATACTTGCTTTTCTCTCAGTATAAGTCAAGTACACTTAAGTGTAATTTGAAGTATATTTCTGAGAAGTATATATAGTATACTTCTGAGAAGTACAGGAAAAATAAACTGAAAGTATACTTTCTTATTTTTAGTTTAAAAGAAGTATACTAATGGCACACTTGAATAAACTTCTTTTTCGTAAGGGTAGTACGATTTTGCTAAATCGTACATACTTTACGAATTAGCCAATTTGTATGAATTCGTATGAATGATCTACCCCTGATCCCGCCCCTAAACATAACCGTCACATGGGTTTAGACAAATCGTACAAATTCGTACGAGTGAGGTCGTATGAATTAGTACGAATTAGCCACTTTTGAATCACTTGTTCGAATTCGTACGAATTGGTCGTGAGATAGCGTAGGTTTGTCATATAAATACAGATTTTTCCCCTTGTTCATCATCTTACCTTGATCTCCAGTGTTCTAGTGTCATACTCAAAGATGCGAATCCCAGGGTTATTTCCGCCATCTTTCACACCAGGTAGTGTCGTTATCCAGGGCGTAACGCCTGGTGTCAGGAACATCGCACTTATTGGAGATCCTGTGTAAAAATATCGAAAAGCAGCCTAAAGTCAAATTTACAGGGGTTGTAAATTTTCAAGAAGTTTATATTTGCTATACATATTGCTTACATGAGTATACGTTGATAAAGTAGGATGTGCTAAATATACAATTTTTAATATACTACAACTACCACTTTCGTCTGTGTGCTATTACTTACTAGTTTGTTAATCAGAGTTTCTTGTTAGTTAATAATAGTTACTAGATTGTTAATATTGTGTTACTCATTAGTTCTTGTGTAGTTATTAATTAACGAAGGAACCATATTCTAAAGTGTTACCAAAAAAATGTTGTAACAGATTACAAGCAAATTTATTAATTAAATTTAACAAATTAGAATTGAGTAATAATTAATCAAATTAATTCCTTAAAAGTTAACCATTTAAAATGAGTAAAACTTACCACAACAACCTAAAAAACATAAATCGAAGTCACCATTATGGGGATCAGTGTTTGTTTTAAAATTACGCTTTTCTCCTTCAGTGATTCTGAAAATACCTACATAAAATACCTATTTTATGACAATGTATCTATCAAACAGTTGAGGTTAGCTGTATAGTTTATTTTTGGTTATTAATGTGTTATGTGGTGATATTATCGAGAACTATGAGACTTTTGAGGTTTTGTTCGGTTTATGAAAAAATGGTGAAATGACAAGTCTATTACTATTTGGCAATGTGCATCACTAACATGATTAAGTGTTGCATATAAATGACAGGGTTAAATATTTCCATCACATCGCCCACCCTTATGCAGTTTATCTCAGGACTCCATTGAAAGTAGCCATGGCATAATACTTATCTCAGGACTCCATTGAAAGTAGCCATGGCATAATACTTATATACTCGCTCCTTAAAAGGTACTTTATCAACTTCAATGGTTTCAATAAGAACATTTAACACCCATGCAAACTTTCCATTCAACAACAGGTTCTTTCGATTACTAAAATGTTATTTACTCTAAGAATAAAAAAAGGTTATTTTAAGAAGAGATCACTGAAAGCTATTTTGGGGACGAAAAATGGTTCTTCGATTGCATGGTCCATAACACAACATAGTCCATAATATCTTTAGTCTCTAGTGTACAAGCCAAATGCAACTCTGGCCAGAAAAACTAAAATGATGCATGGATAGTAAAGGGGAGAAAAATGCATTGCTCATGGCCAATTTGTCTAAGAAGTTGAGCCCGACCGATAAAGGATTTTTTAGGCTGATACAATACAAATAAATATTTGTTGGTTTTAAAATCTGATATATCGGCCGATATTTTTAATTTATTTTTTTTATTTCAGAAATGCGCAACGAAACATTAACAGATTTCCCTAACCTTAGTTATTTGTAGTTGTTTATGAGTTTTAACTAAAATAATATGATAATGCATTTTAAAAAGAAACTTTTTAAATCTTTTATTGTCACAACAGAACAGACTGATGATAGTGGCTATATGATGATGAGCCATAATTTAGCAATGGATAACGTCATACTGCAAATGGTAAAACATACTTTTTCAATATAACAGGCCAAGGAGAGATGATACGAGTCATTGCTATAACTGTCACGTGCTATTAAAGAAATACTTCAGTCACATTGTCAAAAGTTAAAAGGACAGTCAGTCAACTACACTGTAACAACGTAACGTAACTATTACTAGCTAATTCCGCTTCACTCTCGGCTTATTTAACAGCAGCAAAACTGGACACGATAGTCACAAATTTTGTCATGCTTATTTGAGTTGAGAGAACTGATGGGGATGTTCTTTTAATTGCTATTCAAGCAATCTATGTGTCGTGACCAACAGGAACGGTGTAGAGTGCCCTCTGGTGGACAAACTATACAACTCCAACACTCATGACACGGTTCAAGCGTGTGTCGTCCGTTATTATTTTATTTTTTAAATATTCATTTATCGGCCATTATAACTGCCGATACCGATAGTTTGGAAAATGCCTAATATCGGCCGATAATATCGGCCTGCCGATATATCGGTCTGGCTCTACTGAAAAGCTGCAGAAAATATAGTATAATTGCGGTACCGTTGGAGCTGTAGAACATGCGGAAGCTGTCGGTGTGGTGATGGCCGAAGAACTGGCCCAGGATAACAGCGCTGTGCTTCTGTATGAGGTCGATGTACAGCTTATTAAACTCCTTTCTGAACCAGGCCTTATCTCGCTTCTTCTCAAAAACCCCTGGAGGGACGTGGCCGATGATGTAAACCTGGGTAAAGCACAACAAAGAATCACACAATACTGGAGGTTGAGCTCCCTCACTCTATATATACTGTATGTATGTATATAGTGACCTTCTCATGATTTTTGGCAGCGTCCTGAAGCACTCGATGAGCCCACCTGAACTGGTCTGCAGGGTCTTGGATGTTTTCTGTCAGTTTGTTCTGGTCGTAATAGAGGTTGGTGTTGAGCACCATGACTCTGAAGCCGGTTTGATTCAGCAAGTTTTCTGTGTAATATCCTCCTGTGAAGGACAGAAATGAACAAGCATAGTTATATGGCATTCTTTAAAGCGATATCACAATTTACGGTAACACTTCCCAATCACTTTATGGTTCCATTTGTTAACAATGAATAAATACATTTACTAATTAAAGTTAATGTTAATTTCAGCATTTGCCAATGCATAATATTCTTAAAGTAGTAGTTCACATTTAAAAAACCTTTTGCTGATAATTTACTCCCCCCATGTCATCCAAGATATCCACGTCTTTCTTTCATCAGTCGAAAAGAAATTAAGGTTTTTGATGAAAACATTCCAGGATTTTCTCCATATAATGGACTTCAATGGGAACCAAACGATTCAAGGTCCAAAAGACAGTTTCAGTGCAAACTGTTCAAAGGGCTTTAAACGATTCCAGACAATGAATAAAGGGTCTTATCTAGTGAAACGATCGGCCATTTCAAAAATAAATAACAAAGTTTTAAGTTTTATAAGCTCAAATGGTTGCCTTGCTCTGTTCTGTGATGCGCGTTCGTGACTCTCCTGTTCGAACTCGTTCAGCAAAATGAATGAATCTTTTTCCGTGTCATTTGGTTCATTCAACGAACGAAATATACGGGTTGACTCGAAAAAAGATTTTGAAAACCGATCGTTTCGCTTGATAAGACCCTTATTCATCGTCTGGTGTCGTTTAAAGCC